GTCTTTAAGGTGCCACCGGACTCCTTGTTGTTGTTGTTGTTTGGTTGGTTTTTTTTTTTTTTTTTTTTTACACTGTCCGTAGCATTTCTCTAGGTTCACACCTACCATAAAGGAGAACAGAATCTAGCATTTAGTGGGTCTGTTGGAGCGGATCTTGCCAGCTGATCTGCACAGACGGACCCCTGTGCTTGCACAGGGCCCTGTTTGCTGGTAGGGCTCGTTGTGAGTGTAAGGGTCTGCGGGTGAGCATCAGCTTGTGGGATCAGGGCTCTGATTTTTCCTGTCCTAAGCTGTAAGAGTAGGAACCCTAACTTGTTCCTGCATTTGGATGTGCTAATATCACAGGGATAGGAACTGACTGAACAGCCTTGTGAAGGGCTGCTCGATCCTCATGCGGACATTTCTGCTGATTCTACTGACATGTCAGCATTTCATAGTGTGTGTGTGTGTGTGTGTGTGTGTGTGCCATGTTGCAGCCCCTCTGTTCCGAGGGGGTGACAAAAGTACACGACAATCTGATTTCCTGTTAGTAGAATTCAAATCATGGATGACGCTAGAATTCCTAGGAGCCTCTCTGAAGTATTCAGACTGAGCATCTTCCAGTATTTGAACGAACCAACAAGTTTAATTAGTTTTAATGTACATAATCTACACACGAGGCTCTGGCTGTTTGTTTCCTCGCCTGTGTGTGTTGTAGGAAAACCACTCTGATCTGTACTCTGGTTGTGCCATCCATAAATGATTGAGGATTATCTGTGGCTCGCAAAGGGCCTCAGAACATCAATTGCCTGTTCAACTTGTTTCATTTTAAGTACAGCCTGGCAGCCTTAACTCTGGGGTTTCCACCCTCACATGGGTTTGTCCGACTCTTCAGATGGCCTCTCAGTCTAGTTTATGACACTGTGTGCACATTGTGATGCCAGTTCTATTTAAACAAATAGGTGATAGCAGTATGCCAGCAATCCCCACTGGCAAAACAGATTTCTTTTTTGTTTACTCGGATGGTATGTAAACAGCAACTTCCTGCATTGTCATTCTAGAACATGGATATCATCCATTGGCGTTTGTGTACATTTTTTTTTAATAGACACGTTGGGCCAGGGCCTGAGCTGGTGTAAATTGGAGCTAGAGCTCTACTGACTTACACCAGTTGAGGATCTGGGCTGATGCGCTTACTCTAAAGCGATGCGGGCTCAATGTCATTGAAAAGCAGCTGCAGTGCATGGCTGGAGAGAATTTGAACATGGCTATCTGCCATGTTCTTAAATGTCTTCCTTTCTCCTTTCTAAAGTACAAAGAATAACAATTGATGCTCCTGCACGTACCACAGAAACTATTTTAGAAACTCTCTGAGAGGTCAGCTCGGCAGAGATTAAATTGAGCACTTCAATGCTGAGTCTGCTCTAGAGTTCCCATTGCTGATCAATAATCTTCCATCGTTGCCGCGTCTCATTGTAAGCTTAGAACCTCCCTAATTCACACCCAGGATGAGGAGACTCCTTGTGAATGACTCAGTGTTTTGAATGAGAGGACAAACGTTTTAAGCCAGGTTGCTGCATAATGAGATGTACTTGTTTCTGTAGCTGCAATTGGAGTTGGAAGTTGAAAGGATCTGACACTTATAATGCACTTTGATCTCTTTTGTACTGTAATAAGGTTGTAGTTCTGACATTCACAAATTTTGCACTAGTTTAACTGAGTGTATTTTTTTAAACAGATTGAGTTTAACCAATACCAAACCCTGCGTGGACACTTTTAACTTGATTCAAACTTGGTTTGTGTGTGTTTAGCTTGTCAGTACAGTAAATTTACCAATGCAAGCTAAATCCATGTAAGCCAATTTTTAAACTGATAACAACGGCCACACTGGGTCAGACCTATGGTCTATCTAGCCTAGTGTCTTGTCTTCCAACAGTGGCCAGTGTGTCAGATGGTTCAGAGTGAATGAACAGAACCAGGCAATTGAGGGATCCATCCCCTGTCTTCCAGTCTTTTAGCTTCTGGCAATTGGAGTCTTAAGGACACCCAGAGCTTGGGGTTGTATCCCTGACCATCTTGGCTAATAGCCATTGATGGGCCCATGCTCCATGAATTTATCTAATTGTTTTTTGAACCCAGTTACGCTTTCAACCTTCACATCATCCCTGGCAACAAGTTCCACAGGTTGACTGCAGTTGTATAAAGAAGGACTTCGCTTTGTTTGGTTTTAAACCTGCAGCCTATTCATTTCATTGGGTGATGCCTACTTCTTGTGTTATGTGAAGGGGCAGTATCACTTCCCTCTTCACTTTCTCCAGACCATTAATGATTTCATAGACCTCCATCGTATCCCCCTTCAGTCCTCTCTTTTCTAGGATGACCAGTCTGAGCCTTTATAAGAGTGTTTAGAATGTCTCGGCCATGCTGAAGTTGCTGCAGGATGGTTGTTTAGTCACCAAGCTGCTTTGCAGCAGTTGTACGTTTTTTATGTTTTAAACTTGAAGTGAACTCTGTGAGGTGCCGGCAGGTTCATTTTTAGCCCAGATGTAAGCTACAACTAAATGCCAATGGCTTCTTTTGTTTCTTCCCACCCTTTCTGCAGATCTGGTATACAGAACCTCAGCTTAAACATAGAGAGTTCTTCTGCACTGACTTGGTTAGTGAATATTTCCATTCGCCCATGCTGTGTTTGTGAACCAAGACTGATGGTCTTTAAGGTGGTCAAGGAAGCAATTGAATATGCAAGGCTGGGACAATTACATTTGGAAACAGTAACTTCTGTGTGCGTAGAACTATTTTTTCTTCTTTTTTAAGGCTGCAGATGCCTACAATAGACCATAGTTTGTGTCAAAACCACAGTAGAAGTGCCACTGGTTTACTATAGTATTAACGAGCATATTAAGGAACCAATAGGTCCCCGCAATCTGTAGTGTTCAGCTGAAATAGATTTATTTTTTTTCCTCTCAATTGTGTATTTCCTACCATTTTTCATTAGCATAAGGATGTGCAAGTGGATAATGTGGGCAATAAATATAAGTCCTTTTGGCTAGTCACTATGTATTTGTACTACGATAGTGTCTTGAGGCTCCAGCCTAGATCCAAACATCTAATAAGGGATGGTTCCCATGCAGAAGAGCTCACCATCTAAACACATCAGAGAGCGGGTGGGAGAAGGGTAAAAATGGAACTAACAATATTTCCTAAGAGAAACCGAGGCACTGACGTTGTGACTTGTCTGAGGTCATGCAGAGAGTCAGACATAATTTGGGACCCAGGAGATCTGGATTTAATTCCTGTCTAGTGGTGTGGTGACACAACCATCTTTCCTTTCTTGACAGAGTTGTCATCTGATGATGCCTTTTTATAATATAATGTATTAATAAAGAACAGTTAATTATGACCTTTTGGAAGCAGAATCATCATAATTATCTGTTCACGGTTTGGAGTCCCAGCTGAATTTCTGTCTAGAACATCTAGGCTGTTTTAAAATCCATATTTTCTTTACTGAGCTTATGTTTCTGACTAATTGTGTATTGAGTTTGCAACTTTATTCTTTTTTTAAATAAAAGATTTCCATCTAGGTCCAGTGAAGTTCAAACTTAATCTAATGTTGGTATTGATTGCAGCTTCTAATTGGAGGGAAAAAAAGCTATATTTCAACAACCTTTTTGCATTTGAAAAATCACTCATGAACTTTGAAAATTGCTATTATACTAAATTGAACTTCAGTTTGTTTCTATCATGAAGTCAAAATATTTAAACTTGCTGATAC